ATTGTGACGAGCCGTGGAGCCACGAGCATCGCTGTAGAAAAGGAAGACTTCTTATAATTGAACCAGTAGAAGAAGAGGTCATTGAACATCAAGAAGAGAGCCTTGAATATGACATAGAAGATATAGAAGAAGAGCCACAACCGACCGACATTACGCTACACGCACTAGCCGGCTACTCAAACCCGCAAACGATGAAAGTTGGAGGCCTTCTCAAACAACAGCCGATTACAGTTCTCATCGACACGGGCAGCACTAATAACTTCTTAAATAGTAAGGTTGCTGCTCGGATGGCACTGCATATTGAAGGTTGCAGCAAGTTCGATGTAAAGGTGGCCGACGGCAGAATCCTAAAGTGCGACCAAAGATGCCCGCAGGTGAAACTATTACTGCAAGACCAAAAAATTATCACCGATTTCTTCCTCCTACCACTTGATGACTATGAGGCAGTGCTTGGTATAGAATGGCTTACTACACTAGGTGATGTCTCTTGGAACTTTTCTAAATTAATTATGAAATTCTACTGTAAGGGCAAACAGATCATCCTACGCGGGAAGCGCGGAAGCAACGTTACCACTGTTTCGACCCAACGAATGGAGAAAGTTTTACACAAGGTAAATGAAGGCTTTTTGATGCACCTCCAGCAGCAACCAGAGGGGAAGAAAATAGAAATTGAAGATCAAAATCTTGCCCAATTGCTTACTGAATTTGCCGATATTTTTGCTGAACCATGCGGTCTTCCTCCTTCTCGACAACATGACCATCGAATTCCAATCCTTCCAGGCAAGCCACCAGCGAACACTCGACCGTACCGATATCCTCACCTCCAAAAAGATTAAATTGAAAAGATCGTAAAGGAGATGCTTGAAACAGGAGTGATTCGGCCAAATTGTAGCCCCTATTCCTCACCAGTGCTACTTGTACGCAAGAAGGACGGAACTTGGCGGATGTGCATAGACTACCGAGCTTTAAATGGCATCATCGTCAAGGACAAGTACCCAATACCAGTGGTGGATGAACTTCTTGATGAATTAAAAGGAGCTCGAGTCTTCACGAAGTTAGACCTCCGATCCGGTTACCACCAAATTCGGGTATGTGAAGATGACATTCCAAAAACTACATTCCGCACACATGATGGTCATTATGAATTCTTGGTAATGCCTTTTGGACTCACTAATGCTCCTTCAACCTTTCAAAGTCTCATGAACGATATTTTTCGAAGCTTTCTTCGCAAATTTGTGCTGGTATTTTTCGATGATATTCTCATTTACAGCCCTTCTCTTGAGACTCACTTTCAGCATTTACGGATTGTTCTGACGATCCTTCGGGAGAATACTCTTTTTGTTAAGCAACCAAAGTGTAGCTTTCTCCAGCAAAAAGTAGAGTACCTTGGGCACATAATATCGGAAGGAGTGGCGGTAGACCCAACAAAAATTGAGAAAATGCAAGGCTGGCCGAAACGCACAAACGTGAAATTACTACGCGGGTTCCTTGGACTATCAGGCTACTACCGAAAATTTGTTAAGGACTATGGGAAGATCAGTGCACCACGCACTTCTCTACTAAAAAAAGATGTTTTCCAATGGTCGGACAAAGCCTCTGTTGCCTTCGACAAACTTAAGGTTATCCATGACAACGACGCCGGTGCTAGCGCTACCAGATTTCAGCCGACCCTTCATCATTGAGACCGACGCATCTGGAGTCGGAATTGGAGTCGTTCTCATGAAAGATGGTCGACCACTCGCATACACTAGCAAGACATTATCTTCCTCCCATCAAAACATGCAGTATATGATAAGGAGATGCTCGCCATTGTACACGCAGTAATGAGGTGGAGACCCTACCTGATTGGCCGACGATTTCAAATTAAAACCGACCATAGAAGCCTCAAGTATTTTTTGGAGCAAAAGATATCATCTCCTGAGCAACAAAAATGGGTAACCAAACTTCTTGGATTTGATTATGAAATTATTTCAAAAAGGGGAAAGAAAACGTTGTTGCAGATGCACTCTCATGGCTACCTGAGCGAGCTAAGGTTTCAGCCATCTCCCTTCCTACCACTAGTCTCCTCGTGGACATTAGGGAAGAATGGAAGAAGGATCCAGAGATCAGCAACATTATAAAAAAATTGGAGGAGGATCCAAGTGCAATAGCCCACTTCACTTGGGATTCGAGGGATCTACGCTACAAAGGTCGTATTGTGCTTATACCTGACTCCCCTTGTATCACAATCATCCTGCATGAAATGCACTCTATACCTTCAGCAGGGCACTCTGGATTCCTAAGAACCTACAAAAGAGTAAAGCAAAATTTTTATTGGAGAGAG